TATTGAGAGAGATTGGGCGCAAAAGTACCGACATTGTCACGTTTATGGCTCTTTTAATTTTGGAACATGATTTCCGAACGTGATTTCAAGACAACTTTTTCGGCAAATCTCCATCCTGACCTAGTTTTGAACCCCGGTTTCCAAAAGAGGATTATAGGTGAAGCCGAGTCAAGCACGTAAGACTAAGCACGAACGAAAACCAAAAATAAAATGTTCATATTTCTCATTCGCCGTTACACTTTTTCCTCGTTATCAATGTATAACCACACGCCCTAATTTATCAAAATGAGGGTAGAGTGATTTAAACCATTTCATTTTATGAACATTTATAAAGAAGAACATGTTCTATTTGTAGCATCACTTTAAAATACTCAATGTGATGATTTTGTATCTTAATTAGACGCAACACACCTTTATGGTGGCTATATACAGCTATTCCGCATCGCTTAGATAAGCTTGTCTGCACTTACGTCAGATACTTTGTTACTCTTAACATGCGTTGCACGTGAGGCGTCTATCAGTGACGTAGCGATGCGTCAGTCTTAGGGCAGTCTAGGACGCGCCCTTTTTAATGCCATCACACGGTTAACGAAGAAAACATATACACCAATACCGTATGAAAACAATTCCTTCATAAGCTTAAGTGACGAATGTGATGACGCAATCACAATATTAAACGCCTCTTATGCAAAGGACATGATAACCGAGCGTCAACCTGCGCTTATTGAGCCTTTGAAGACCATTTACCATTTTCAAAGTCATTAACACATTACCTGTTAATATTGCATTCACATTTTGTATGACGTCACTCTCATATGATGCGTCAAAGCACCAGCACCAGCACAGCACCAGTCGCTGACGCATTCCTGCGTCAAACGAAATAATGGCGCATCTGGCGCATCTGGCTTGGTAGCTGAAAAATGTCCCTCTCCTATCTACACTGCTGTTCTCTCCCACTCACTTATATTATGTTCATATCACCTTGTGTATATAGGCTTGCACACTGCACGCCATACGTTTCGATAACAATAACAGTTCTACGAGCAAATAAACATAATATCTAGGCTAAGTAATTAGATAAAAAAAGACAGTGCCCATATGCTCGGTTATTTGGTTATCAAAGCAGAAGACTGATGATCATCTTTTGAGGGCTATATGTTATGCATGATAACATTTTTATTTTCCTTATCCGAATATTTGTTTTACTTATAGAACCTTTTATAGGTTAGAGTTTGGTTATTACAGTTATTTGCATGGTTATATGATTATTATTCCTATTGTTACCAACGTTGTTGTTAGTATTTTAATTATTTTAATCATTATTATTGTTATAACAGATACTATTATCATCATCACTATTATTATTGTACTTATTATTATTCTGATTTTTAATATTAGTATTACTAATACTATCATTATTATTATAATTATTATTTTCATCATTGTTATTAATATTATTTTTGTTGTATTGTCGTGTTCAATAGTTATGACTTCTCTTGTCTTTCTGAGTGAGGTTCACGTAATGCATTAACCGATCCCACGAAGCTGAAGACGATGAAATTTTGTCCTTAAAATCTGTAAACACCCTATTATAGTGAAGTGAAGTAAACGGGTACCGGGTGGGAACAAACTCTTTGGATGCTTCGTTTAGAGCATTGTAATGGCGGACCAGCTACAGCCTGAGTAACAATTGTATACTTTGTATAAAGCGCAGAAGAGTATATTCATATAGTAGCTGCACTATTTAAATGGACCTAGAATTATTATTACAAAAATAGGTCCGACTGTAACTGTTGTGCGTAACAATGCCCTAAATTTAGTTTTCGATGTTCTATATCACTGCCGTGTCAAGCATAATATTCCTAATACATTACACAGGTATAGCACGGACAAGTTAATATTGACTGACGGTCATGCGATGTGGTATTAATTACTTATGTGTAAACATTTAGGAGGGGCCCAACGGAGAGTCAAGTCTTCTTGTTTGGATACAGACAAGTATTAGGAAGCAGCGAGGGAAAAAAACAATTCATGTTGTAAAATTTATTACGAATATAGGGAGACAGAACAGAGAGGAAATAGATATTTTAGATTTTAATCGATAAGATAATCTAAATAGCACGCGCATGGCGTCGTGCTGGTGATAAGGGAGAATGGGAGAAAGAGAGAGAGGGAGAGCGGGATAAGAGGGAGAGAAAGAGAGAGAGAGAGAGGGGAGAGAGGGGAGACAGGGAGGGAGAAAAAAGAGAGAAAATGTATTTATTGAACTGAATTTTTATCGCAACCTTAGACCTGCACTACAGTCGAATTTTATGATACAACTAAATTCCGATTATTACCAAACTGTAACATAAGAGAAAGAGAGAGAGGGGGGGGGGGGGGGGGGGGGAGAGATCCGGGATGGGGAAGGGAGTGGGGTATGACGTTCCAGCGCCATACTCAACTTGAACCAGGAAATGTTATAAGTGAAAACTACACGAAATGTGCGTTTTTCTGCGGCATTCGATTATTTGAGTATTTATTCACATAGTAGTAAGTAACAACATGCAAGGGGATAAGCCAGATTAGAAGAAGAAAAAAAAAGGATCTTAAAGAAGTAATACTAGATGGATACTAATTGATGTAGAAAATAGTAGAAGACAAATACTTGTCCCAGTCTTTGTATGTGGTCATGAATGGGCATTGATACATGTTGTAGTTTTAGTTTTAAGATTTGGTATGACCATAAATGCACTTTAAAACCCCGGGTTTAAAACTAAAAGAAAAGGAAGAACAGTAAAACGCAGGACTCCTTTTATATGACTGAAGAAATCCCGCATGCTTACTTTAGAATAGGATACCCCTCGCCGTTGCCTCTTTATTCCTATCTATATTAAACAATAAAGACAACTATTTCATTTCATTGTCATGTGTTGAAGTTTATATCGCATGGGCCGACATTATTCACATTTGGAAGTTTACGTTTCTACTTGCTGCCTATATGCGACCTAAATATAACTGAAATGCGGTGATCAGTATGGGTCTGATTGTTATCATCATAATATCCCCGTCATGGTTTATTACTATTCAGCGTCATGCATGTCACCAGTCAACAAAGCTGCCGAGGTCAAACCGTTTGTTCAAGCTGATATTTATCATCCAGAGTGGATTGCGACAAAACTAGGACAGACGCTTGGGGGCGCCACTACATTCTGGAAATTTGAAAGAAAGAGTCAAGCGAGAGCGAGGTGGCGTTCGTAAATTTGAAAATGTAAGGAAGAGGAAAGAGCCCTGGGAGACATCAAAAGCTAAATCAAATGAGAATAGATATTGAAAGATAAGCATAAGAACGTTCATGTATAATTTGCACATGTGAACCTTGGCCATTTTATCTTTAAATAGATTTGTCGGCCAATAAGTCTTATCTTATTATGATTAGCATTATTATCCCTAATGTTATCCTTATCATTATTATCCTTAATGTTATCCTTATCATTATTTTAATTATTATCATTATCATTATTTGTATTATTATCATAATTATCATCATTATTACACAATTATATTCTTTGAACACATTTTAATGTCTCGTCTTTTCTTGTCTCGAAGATACTTCTGAAAAACGCCTCGAAGTGGCTATTGACGTGCAGACCAACGTGCGGTCGCTGCCTGCATTAGTTTTTCGGTTTATCATTAGATTAAGTGTTTGAATCCCCATTAGGGTCGTTCAAAGGGTGATGATAAGACTATTAGATTAAACAGGTTTCAGTAGCGAAATGTATAGTTCGGTAATATCTTTAAAAATAATCTTAAAGTGTTTTTTTTTTTAATCCTGAAAAGAGAAACATCCTTGAAAAGAAACATAATACCGTGATTGACATCAGTTTATCTCTGTACAACATTTGCTGTAATTATTGCCCTCCCTTCCAATTTTAAAGACTGTTTGAACATCTTGTGAGGCCCATTTTAAACTCACTAGAGAGGCCCCTCCATATTTCACTCCTTTTCAACTTTCTGCATGTAAACAAATAAATATGAAACACTTAATTTCTGTTCTATTGTTAGCCAATATTATTAATGTTTATCTGTATCATTTAGTTTTTTTTAATCATTGCAAAGTGTGAATATAAAACAATGTACTGAAACTCAAACTACCCCCCCCCCCCCCCCCCAGCCATGTTGGGTTTAGGTACGGTAGGGATAGTTGAGTTCTGTTTTCACACCGCAAATGCCTTCAAAGTGCATGGATATTTTCAGCTCCACTGTCAAAAAATACGGTGACCGTTAATTAATTAATGAATTAAAAATAACAATACATGGGCCGGCTGGTTGTGCGTAATATAACCAACACTAAAATGCCAACAAAAAAGCCAACATTCGCATAGGCTGAATACGACGTAAAAGGCACTAGGCCTATTTCGTTTTTTTTTCAACGGCTTTTACAAATTATCGAATATTTGTGGTGGTACACAAGTATTAGAAATCGTTATATTGATTGATATTTCAGCCTTCTCTGAACCGATTTTGATCAAACAATGATGATTTTGTCATTTAAATTGTATGTTCTTTCAAATTTGACACTCACTTTTTTCGTACATGTATCTCACAAAAACAAAAAACAAATTGTGTAGCGCCCTCTGCAACAGAACTCAACTATCCCTTTAAAATCGATGAAGGTATTACTTTCCTTTAAACAAATTAAATCCTGAAAAATAAAACCTTTTTTTTTTAAACGCGACACAAGAAATGATACCTCGATGCGACGTTTAGTTTCGGTCCAAAGTCCAATTCAACAAAGGAAATTAGACAAAGGGTTACATGGCTTGAGGGCAAAACCTGTTTTCGGTCCTTCGTTTCACTTTCTTTGTCCTTCACGTGCTCGTGCGCAGACGAAGTTGCTGATAGCTCGGGAGAACAGGGTTTAGAGAGCACAACAGTAGGCCTTCATTCTGCACTTCCAGCTGTCAGATGTTTCGGAGCAAGGGTACTTTTCAAACAAACAGATACTCATTTTTTCGTCCATGCGTTCATCCAGCCCGCTCGCTGATGGTGATATGGACGGCATCGTAAGCGCCATGCAGACGACCAAGCTGAAGACGGGCGAAAGCCAGATCCATGGCGATGATGGTGAACTATTGAACGATGCCGGGGAAAGACCCGATAATCATACCAAAAAGGCAAGAGCCCCTCCTTATTCATTGTTTTCTGTTTTGTTTGCTTTGATTTATTTTCCTAGGGGAGCCGTTGAAATCAGGATATGTCTCGGATGTTAGACTTCAGTGTTTACTTTTCTTACGTAAGTTCTTACGGTATCGTGCATGTATGTCTATTGGGTATTTACATACGTGCATCAATCAGATATGATTATACCCGTCTGGGGTGACTCAGTTTACAATGGCTAATAAATCCTAAAGGAAATGTCTGTTAACCTTTTATCCGCCACATCACTGGTTTAACAGCAGAATTACCCCGGCCATAATATGTGTAATTGCGTATGTATTTCCAGACTTTATTAGACATTTCGCTACGTTTACATCAAAGTTGTACGTTGAAGAAAAACAAAATAATAATGATAATAACAACAATAGGAACAACGATGACAATAATGACTATATTATAATTACCCCGGGATTATCCGAGCCGCCCAGATAAGGCGCTCTGGCATAAGAGGATTTATTCTGACCGGGTATCCATTTACACCACCTGAGTAGAGGGTGGTGAATGCAGATCAAGTCTTGCCAAAGGACATTGGTGCCGCAGTGGGACTCGAACCACATACCCTGTGATCCACAGTCCGGTGACGCATCCACTAGCCCACGACACCTCTAACTCCCGAGGAGAAATACGAGGAGATAATTGGTGGAAATGTTATTTTAGAAAGATTTGGGTAATATGAGACGCAGTGGCACATATTTTGCAGTACCTCCAGGGGTTGTCTGGCATTAGACAGATGAATAGAATTGCCTTGAAAAGTAAACACGAACAAAACAAATCATTGTTAAATTTTTTGATACTTTGATAGGTTATTCCAAGTTTACACTTATGAAATATTTGTTGTTGTCAGTAAATATGCACTCTATTGTACTATGGTGTATTGAGTTGTCAGGGCAGAGAATTAGCAGATAATGGGTTGGCTTGTATTGAACGTGCCTATATGAAGAATGTGCATGTGTTTTTGTGTGCATGTAAATACACCGTCGCCCAATTTCATTAGAATACCGGCCGAAGTGCATTATTTTCACTACTACCTATTAATTTGGAATAATCTTTATTACCGCTTTTTATGAAATAATTTTAACAATGTGATTCATTCTTGATAGAAACAAAAGTTGATATCTTCTCAGAACTTTATTGATCAACCTTTGGTGCCGCAGTGGGACTCGAACCACATACCCTGTGATCCACAGTCCGGTGACGCATCCACTAGCCCACGACACCTCTAACTCCCGAGGAGAAATACGAGGAGATAATTGGTGGAAATGTTATTTTAGAAAGATTTGGGTAATATGAGACGCAGTGGCACATATTTTGCAGTACCTCCAGGGGTTGTCTGGCATTAGACAGATGAATAGAATTGCCTTGAAAAGAAAACACGAACAAAACAAATCATTGTTAAATTTTTTGATAGGTTATTCCAAGTTTATACTTATGAAATATTTGTTGTTGTCAGTAAATATGCACTCTATTGTACTATGGTGTATTGAATTGTCAGGGCAGAGAATTAGCAGATAATGGGTTGGCTTGTATTGAACGTGCCTATATGAAGAATGTGCATGTGTTTTTGTGTGCATGTAAATACACCGTCGCCCAATTTCATTAGAATACCGGCCGAAGTGCATTATTTTCACTACTACCTATTAATTTGGAATAATCTTTATTACCGCTTTTTATGAAATAATTTTAACAATGTGATTCATTCTTGATAGAAACAAAAGTTGATATCTTCTCAGAACTTTATTGATCAACCTTTATTGGTCATTATTTTCGAGAAGATATAAACTTTACAAATACTGAATAAATTAAGTTACCTCTATCATTATAATGATAGAGGTAACTTAATTTATTCTCTAATTTTCTGTTGTTTATAGACCAGTTTCTAGTAATATAGCAAATGGTACAAATGACTCCCTCCCCCCCCCCCCCCCCCCCCCATATCCACAGATATTTCGTTTTACACTGGGAGAAGTACCATTTTGTGCATTTTCGAAAAACTACTGACCAAGTCACTGAGGTGCTTCATGAATTGGCTTCAGTTTGTTTGCTTTTCTAGGAAAAATACTTCTACTTGTGTATCATAGAATGTTCCATCGGTGAATAAATAAATAATGATGACTTGAGTTTCATGAGCGTATCAATTATTTGTCTCTGTAGGTTATTAACAAGTTTCTACAAAATGAACTTTATCTGCAAATGCACAAATTGTATCGACGAACGGACTTATTTTGTACTTGCGTTGATTATGTATAACTTGGGAGCTTGTCATTAAAGGGATTGGGTAACTTTGTCTCAGATTCTGAAACGAAATCCTGGATTTAGCTCATGCTGCAATGATAATTATAAACCTTTAAGTCAATCAGGAACCCCATAACTTTTACAAGCCGATCGCCTTTCTGATTATCAAGAAATTTATGATTGGAAATCGAAACCAAATTTTGCGTTTTCCTAACGGTTTTCATAACACTATACAGTCTATTAGGGAAAACGAGTTTAGCAAAACCGGTCACTCAAAGATTTTGACTTTTTTGAGGCACTGCTTGGTTATTTTGAAGCGCGATTTTTTTAAGGGCTTCAATATTACACCATATCGCAGACATTGATAACACGTAGGGCCGTGCATCTCAGATTTAACATTGATAACACGTAGGGCCGTGCATCTCAGGATTAACATTGTTGAACGATGCCTTTAAATGAGATGATCTAATTGTATATGGACGGAATGTTAAATCAGGGGATAAACAAACATGTGTATACAAGGGAACGTAAAAGGTAAAATTCTACTTGTACGTGAAGATGATCAAAATAAAATGATAAACACATTTGAATTCCTAAGTACTATGGTTAGAGTTTTCCTTCTCGGTCTGTACAAAGTCCTGTGACCATAAAGCTGAAATAAAGTATAGGCCTTAACATGGGGCAGGAAAATGTATCCTGATAATTATGTTCTCGTAATTTGTGTGGCTTTTGAGAAATATGTGATTTATTCATAACAACATAATGGTGGTGCACCTAAAGATATTGTGTAATAAATGTGCCAAAAGGGTAATTACATAATCCACCAAACTTTGGACATTTTTCGTTACCCAACTTGGTTATATGTTTTGCCCATTCTGAAGTAATCATTATATATTTTGACTCTAAGTGGACAAAATATTACTCAAGTTGGCTATAAAAAAATGCCCAAATTTGGCTTAATCTATGATTAATCACCACGTGCTGGTCAAAATTTGACCTAATATTTTAAAGAGTGTATATCGCGATTTGTGTAGTAGTGGTGGTAAAATGGATTATTTATTTTCTCTTTCTCTCTCAATCCAGGAGGGTTTCTCCTTCGTGCTGATCTTCAGTGCGGTATCTGTCACATTCGGTGGATCTCTGCTGGCAGGGTTCAATACTGCTGTTCTCTCTGTGCCTTCTAGGGTAGGTCCTGATATGGCAATTTATATTTCCATTTTTTTTTTTAGTACGATCTTATAAATGGTAGGTCTTCTTAGTACACAAGTCGTCTTTACGAGAAAGCTCTATGTTACGTAATATTCGATACAGTGTGAAACAATGAAGTATCAAATGTTTACTATAACAAACATTACAGAATAGCAACGTAAAATTATTATTTGGATTTGTAAATATATCAATAGTACACGATTCAAATATGGATGTAGACTCTATTAGAAATAATACAAATGAACTAACATGAGCATGACAGATGATCCGTTTCCATTCACCATTCTCTTCCCCAATTAGCATATGAAAGATATTACAGTTGAGTACTGGTCTATGTATGAAAGCGTCTGAAATATGTCTGAAAGCGATTGGGGGGAATTGAGCATGTAGTACGTAAGAAATGATGTACACTGTGATGTTTTTGAATGATTAAACTGAAAATAAATTTACTCAATTTTGCTGAAATTATTTGTACTGCAATTATGGGTATATCGGACTACACATACGCATGTTGCGTGAAGATTTGGTCCAAAATTGTCAGGTGTTTCTACTTATAGCTTTATAAGGACATTTTATTCCACGGCTCTGCTCCTAAGCATAATGTTACTTTCATAAATCATTACATTCCGTCAAAATATTTACGCTCTCAAAACTCTGCCGTGGAATGCTCGAGAGATTTGTAATAGCAGATTAGATAAAGTGTTTTTAAATAATCTCAAAACGTATCTTTTTAATTAAGCATAAAACTAATTGTTCGGTCATTTTGGGGTGTTCTATCTTCTGTTTCTTTGTATATAATGACGAAGCTTTTATGTGATACGTTTTTCTTTCCCTTTTTTTTCAATTGCACCTTGAGCATTTGAATACAAGTGGATCCTATACGCCTTAAAGATCTCATGTATCAATATTATTATTATAATTATTATTATTATCATCATCCTTTGGAGAGCAATCTTTTCCAGGGACCCTTCCTGCTATGATTTTGTTCTAAACTGCCAAACAAAATATATATCTTGATCATTATCTTCAAAGTAACTACTAAACTCTCAATATTTTATGTAAAGAAGTAAACATTATCTCTAGGAGAATGAAACATTAATTCTTTTTCGTGAATTAGTTTAAAACTTGAGACATTTAGCCATATGTAAAGGGTAATGTACTTTTTTTTTAAATGGATTGCGTGCTTGTAGGTCTGTGGCATCGATGAACAATAACTTTCACATGTTATTTTCCTGTTTTTGCTACGATTCAAGTTAAATTCAAGTTTAGTCCTGTAGTCGTTTAGATGATTATGCTAATATGGCTATTAAAAGAGTTGCCCAAGGTTGCCAAGCTGGCAACCAAGCTGGATATACTTCAATACCCATCTAGAACACAAATCAACAAAAAAAAACCTTGTACTTATCAACTTTTTCAGGTCATGACATGGTATATGGTACCGTCTACTGGACTAGTTCAATTTATTTCTTTACAAATGCAAAACATAGGGAGCTACATAGAATAAACTACATACATACAATACAATATATAGAACATGTACATCATAATTTATCAAAAACGACTCCAGTTGGAGCAATGTATGTTTTAAAAAGCAAAAAATCAGCAAATGTGGAAGGGGTAGTCAAAAATCAAAAATAATTTGTCGAGGACTACCCCCAATTATACAAAAAAAATTATGCAATTAAAACTTAAAAGTAAATATAAGGTAAAATGATGAGGTGGTACCAATAACGAGAAAAAAGAGGGAGAAAAATATCAAAGACAGGGGAAAAGAAAGAAAAAAATGCATCCACCTATATGTGAATGTTGTAAAAGATGGATTACTTATCGGGAATAATCTTAACTTAGCCTTAAATGAATACAACGAAGAACAATTTTTGATGTCAGGTGGAAGATGACTCCATAACATAGGTCCATTGAAGGGTATCCGTTTTTGTTAGAAAAAAAAAGTCTTAGCTATGGGTTTTTGGAAACTACTTGCATTTCTTGTAGCATATGAATGAATAGAATAGTTCAGTATAAAAAGGTCATCAAAGACAGGTGGCAAGTTGTTATGTTTGTACTGGAACATGAATTTACCAAGCTGCATAATAAATATATAGAATTAACATTTAAAATATTCATCCGTTTAAATAGGGGTGCAGTATGTGCTCGGTAAGAAGATTTGGTTATCAAGCGTATGTCTTTCTTTTGAAGGACTAAAAGTCTATTCAGAAGGGTTACTGAGCAGTTGCCCCAAACAATATTTGCATACGACAAGTAAGGAAGCAGCATTGTATTATAAAGGTTACATGAGATTGGTAAAGGAAATAATGTATGCACAACATAAAGAATACCTATTGCACTTGAAATCTTGGAGGCAATGTAGTTAACATGTGTCTTCCAGTTTGTTGAACAGAATCTGGGTAAATATTCATCATTTAGTTGCACATGTAATTCATCAACATCGAAATTGATATTTCTACCTTTAAACACCAAATAATTAGTTTTAGTCATGTTGACCATTAATTTATTAGCTCAAAACCAGCAAGAAACCTTTTCCAATTCAAATCCATATTCAGGTGCTGAACAGATTTACCAGACAAAAACGTATTTGTGTCATCAGCAAATAATGAAAATGACAATTTACTAGAAGCAAAATGAAGATCATTAATGAATAGTAGAAACAATGGGGGGGGGGTGGGGGCAAGGATACTCCCTTGAGGAATTCCAGTCACAATGTTACATAAATCAGAAGACTGTTGATCAATAATAACAAATTGTTTACGATTTTTAAAATAATTTTCAAACCAATTCAAGGAAATACCTCTAATACCGTAAAATGAAAGTTGTTGTAACAAATATAAAATGATTGACACTATCGAAAGCCTTCGAAAGATCAAGAAAGCTACTAATTGAAACCAGTTTGCTTTCTATTGCACTGGATACATAATTCATGAGTTCTATTAAAGCCACTGAGGTCGAATATTTCTGCCTGAATCCAAATTGTTTTGAGAAGAAAATAGATTCAGACTTAAAATAAAGTTCGGTAGTTTGGAAGAGTTACCTTCACTTTTATCACTACTACTCATTATCAAAATATGTATATAGAATTAAACAATTAGTTTCTATGGTTTCTACGACTTGAGATCCCAACAAATTCGCCGATGAAAAAAATATTGGCAATTTTACCTGAAAAATTCAATATGCTTTCCCCCCAATTTAGAACAAAACACTATTGCAGAATTCAAACATTAAAGAGGTTTTCAAAATGATGTTTTAAACTTTTCCGGAATGACATCGTAATCTTCTTTTACCGTCTCTCTTAACATTATTTTTTCTTTGTTTGTGTGTATCACTTTCTATCTCGCTCTCTTACTTTTTCTTCATCTCTTTTTTATAGCACATGAAGGAGTTTTTCAACGAGTCCCACTACCAGCGAAGCGGAGATTATCTTGACGAGAACTCTGAGAGATGGTTATGGTCGTTCACCGTGTCTTTCCTGTGCATAGGAGCGGCCGTAGGTGCCCTGGTTTCAGGGTACCCCAGCAATAAGTTTGGAAGGTGCGTTCCCAAACTTGCCAAAGATCAAGAATGTTAAAACATGATTCGTCCTATTGTTTAAAGGGACTTTAATAGTAACATTGATTAGATGAGAGAAAAAATGATGCTAAGGTAGTGACTTTAATGCTCGATGTACAACTAAAGATAATCTGAAAATTTGAGTGAAAACAGACCATTATTAACAATAACAATTTGAAAAAAACTGATTTGATCGATTCCTTAACTCTACCAACTATGTTATATATTACACTTTATTAACATTTTAGGTGAATGTAAATCGTCACAAAGTAATACATTGGCTCTATATACCATTCCAGACATTTAAGTGTTGACAGATTTTTAAAGGCCTGTCTTAGGTCTTCTTTTCATATAAAAACGGTTGGGAAAATTCAGAAATTGGTTGGGAGAATTTACTGTAAGAGGGTGTTGCACAGTGACGCCTTTATTATTATCATTATTATTACTTATACCGCGCTTTTCCCATAGGCCAAAAGCGCTTACAGTGAATACAAATCAAAATTACATAAATACATATTTATTCAACTACAAACTGCAAGAAAGATGTGTTTTTAAGGCCTTTCTGAAGGTAATAACTGATGGAGACTGCATAATTATATGTGGTAGATCATTCTAGTATTTTGAGGCAGATACAGTAAATGTCCTATCACCGGCTAATGTGCAATTAAATGAATATGTGAGACGGAGAGAATCACTGGCTGACCTGAATGCATTAAAAGAAAACCATAAATGTCTATGTGGTTTAAGAATGTTTTCATGTTTTTTTGCATGCTAGAGGGTCAGTACAGTAAAAGGAATATAATAAGTAACATTTCAAACAAAAATTACGCATTTTTTCATCAACCTTCAACAGTGTTACCGAGTCATTTCAAACACATTTTTGGCTAACACCCAGTAAATAAAGATAGTGTGCTCGTTTTTTTTTCAATTACAAAGTGTTTAAACAATTGTAGTTTCTCCCAGGAAGCATTATATTTATAAAAGTTATTGTCGTAATTGCGGTCAAATGAATATTAATAAGTCAGAATTGTGGATTTATATTTCAAACGTTCGTTTCTCGTATTGTTCTGCTTCTTTATCCCTAATGTTATTACAAAGGTTAGAATGCCCTTTAAATGACCAGCGTGATAATGCTCACATCATTATGTATCTGCATCATATCTCATAACAATAATCCATAAAAATCTTCTGCAGTTTAATGTCTTGAGAGCGTTTATACTACTTCCGTTGCAGGAAGAAGACACTTACGTTGAACAATGTTTTCTCGATTGTCGGAGCTTCGATGATGAGTTTAAGTTTTCTGGCACACTCCTACGAAATGGTCATGATTGATAATGCTCACATCATTATGTATCTGCATCATGTCTTATAACAATAATCCATCAAACAATCTTCCGCAGTTTAATATCTTAAGAGCGTTTATACTACTTCCGTTGCAGGAAGAAGACACTTATGTTGAACAATGCTTTCTCGATTGTCGGAGCTTCGATGATGAGTTTAAGTTTTCTGGCACACTCCTACGAAATGGTCATGATTGGTAGGTTCGTGACAGGGATCAACTTAGGTAAGTCATCCACCCCCCCCCCCCCTCCCCTCTCAAAACAAATTATGAAAGTAAAGACTCTGGTGATGGATATATTTACCTATAGCTACTTGCGTCTTTTATATATCAAACAATGCATAATCGGTCCCACATGATCCTCTTTGTCTTACGTTAATTGAGAGCTGATTTGATGAGATAACCACCTGTCAGTGACCTATTAGGGAGGTCTGATCCCCTTGCCGAACTAGTACAGAAGGGCTTCAAGCCCGGTACACCTGAGGTTAGTAGGTAGTAAGTAATCGCATGAGATATATATCCGTACTCCGGACTCGAGACCATTAGATAAGACATCTTTCCCCGGTGTCTCGTTACCCATATTTTATACTGTCTTTTTTTAAATTCCTGCAATTATAGCAATAAATCAGAATATATTATATGAGTATAATCAACGGTTCATCATGTATATTTACTTTCGAGAGCAATATATTCAATGATTAACGCGATGATAAGGTCAAGATCCGATGCACTGGTCATTTAGTGTCCCATACGTTACCGAGTATTGTAGATTGCTGACCATAAATTGAAATAAAACTATGTCATTTCATCTCGTATTTTGGTCTAATCTACGCTCAAGCAGAGCTATGCAGTATCTTCGTAATACAATAGCTAGATATTATCTTAGATATGGTCAGTGATACAGCTTGAACTATATAGTATATCACGAAATGGTCTATCAAGCTTCAAGCTAATAGTATAGAGATATCGACTGCTTTGACAGCCAGACCTCGAATATTAAAGCAGTTGATATGTCTTTTTTATGCCGAATTGAAACAAAAATATACCAATAATTCTTACATTATCCTTTTATTGAGTGAAGATTGGTTACAACATCACGGAAAATCTAAGACACTGTCTGTAATCTTTGCTTGAAAAATGACTGAAAGTTTCAATCATTTGGGAATCGCAGACAAAATGCACTGTCGGGTGTCCGCGCTCGCACAAAGAACATTTTAACACGTAAAACCAATGGGTATCGCAGCAAAATTTTACTTGTTTCATGGTAACCGGAATTTTGAGGGATCTCACTCTTGGACTATTAACCGGTATTGGCATTTGTCGTTTCTTTACGGGAATGGCTTAAATCACGACTGCAATTTCGACCATTCAGATGGCTGGATTTCTTAGGTGAGGTATAAAATCATCCCTATACTGGTCTATAAAGCTTCAAGCAAATAGTGTTTTTTTTCTATTTGCCGATGTTTTTGTTGGGTTCTCCTTCAAGGTGTAGTGACTGCTGTTGTCCCTATGTACCTGACGGAGATCTCACCGACCAGTCTGAGGGGAATGGTTACTGTCATGCACGGGATGCAGCAGAACTTTGGTGTATCACTCTCACAGGTGATCCCCTTTTCACTAAACCATTGAATAAAAGTGTGTTTCGTTAAATTTTATTATAATATTGCAAGTTTAATATTATAAGTTTGCGGCTTCACCATGTAGGGAGAACGGTCCTGTTGACGAGTAATCAACCTGAACATGACGAACAGTCAACGCACCACTCCTGACATGCTTTGTTTCTAACAATCAAAGTGTTCAGAACGTCGAGCCTCGGGAGAAATTCTCTCTCCCGGTAATGACCCCGTCGCACCCCCCCCCCCCCCCCCCACCAACAAAAATGAAAATGAAAAGGGAAAGGACAACCGACAGATACATGTTTAAATACTGTACATAATATTCAATTACCCAAACAGAAGAAGAAGAAAAAGAAGATGGATAAGGATAGGAGGAGGAAAAGAAGATGGCGAACAAGAAGATTGAAAACGAAGAGGAAAAAGAAGTAGAAGAATTCCTTCACTTGCATATTGTCACACTAAAAACCAATCTCAGTGAGACAGTTTTATTTACCGATTTGTTTTCTGCTGTCTTCCAATTTTTAGACTCTTGGTCTGTATGTCTTTACCGGAGAGTCATCATGGCCGTGGCTTATAGGTCCTCCAGTTATTCTCATCAGTCTCTTCCAGCTTACTACCAGTCTTTGCTGCCCAGAGAGCCCCCGATGGCTATACATCAAGAAAAATCAACAACAAAGTGCAATAAAATGTATGTTATACTGCAATCTTTAAGATAAAGTTGAGTTCTGGTCATGCGATTGCTTTGTGAAAGAAACGATGTGGAATCGATCAGAAAAGGTTGATCATCTAGCATATAAGTATTGGTGTGTACTGCAAGGTTCTGGACTCATAAAAATGATAATAAAATTTGGCTCAGTCTTGGTAAAGTTACAAGCACTGTACACAGAAAGATGTATATGGGAATACACGAACATGCATTATAAAAATCCGTCCTGATGTTACATGCCGTGCTTTTCAAGGAAAGTTTTGTATCTGATGTTCTTCCACACTTGCCTAATACAATGATAAGGCTCACAAATTATTTTCACCTCTTCCCAGAACTCAACCTCTCTTTACCCCCAAACCGATTATATGAAATAGCGCTTCTTGGCCTTTAGGGTTATTTTGTTTTTTGTTGTGATTTTTGTTTTGTTTTATTTTTGTTTGTTTGTTGACTGCCTGTCCTCTAAGCGATGATGGATTTCGTCCCAGGAAGAAACTAACTTCGTTGGGAAGGTCTTAGACTCCCCAACGAGAGTTGAAGGGACAGGGGACATGCTGATGATTATTCTATGAAAAACCGGGCTCAATATGCTTGACTATAATGTTGTGTAGTTGTACGCTGCTAATTGTTTTTGTGTAGGCCTCTCTCGCAGCCCAGGAAGGGTCATGTTGGTATTTTCTTTTTGTTTCCATCTCGTTAAAACGAATGTCATTAACTCATTAAAGGTACTATGTCCCATTTGCAGGCCAAAGAAATGAAAAAGTTAAATTCCAACTGCATTTGAAAGATAATACTAATTTAGAACTTCCCTAAAAAAGGTGGGGCTTGAAAATGTCTTCAAGTGGGAACATAACGACTATTAGTTGTCAAATCGACTTTAGGGCTATAGAGCCCAAAAGTAATAGTCTTGATTTTCAGACAATTGTACCGAATGGTCATACGTTTTATGCTGCACAAAGATTCAATCAGTTTAATCTTGGCCATCACAAGAAGTGGGTTATTGATGTAACCAAATGCTCATGTACCCTTTACAACTCTTTTCATGTATGTTATTTCCAAAGAAGAATACAAGCCAGTCAGTCACTCAATAGTGTCTGACAGTGAAGTCTAGCAAGTAAACGGGTTTCCTTGCATAATTTGAATATGAGGACACTGCTAACGTTCAAATTTCACAGATAGGACATACATGACATATTCATAATTCCTGCAAAGTTCTACATAATTTGAGGTTGGCTGCAAAAAGGACATAGTACCTTTAAACAACATTATGTCTCGTTAAACGGTATAATCATCTCATTTTAACGGCATTATAAGTCATTAAAATTAAATTATCATATGGTTTTAACGAGCAACAGAGTGTCGTTTGAATGGTTCCGGGACAGTCCGGACCATGGATAAATCAACCAAAGGCCCTGGACAACTCAAACAATGCAAATTAGTTTTCTCATGATTTTATGACCTAAAGTCAGTAATGTAAATAGTGTTGTAGACGTCCTTTCCTGAAATTGAATGGTACATTGTAATTCAAGTTTAATTGCGTATAATAATGTTTATTTCGTATCCCCTGTCTCTCTTTCTCTCTCTCACTTTCTCTCTCTCTCTCTCTCTCTCTCTCTCTCTCTTTCTCTCTCTCCCTATCTCTCTCCCTCTCTCTCAATCCCTCTCTGTCCCGATGTCTCTCTATCTCTCTCTATCTCTCTCTATCTCTCTCTTTTTTTCTCCCTTTCTCTCGTTTCACTCTCTCTCTCTCCCTCCCTCTCTCCCTCTCTTTCTCTTTCTCTCTCATCTCTCCCCCCCCCTCTCTCTCTCTCTCTCTCTTTCTCTCTCAGCTTTGAGACGATTACGAGCTTCAAATGATATATCACGTGACGTCTCCGACATGGATGAAGAGAGGGCGAGAGAAAAGACCCAGGAGGTGGTTGGAATCTTGGACCTGCTGAGACTACGTCAATCGGACTGGGGAAAACCTCTGCTCCTCACCGTCGTTTGTAACTGCTGTGTTCATCTAACGGGTGTAAACGCGGTAAAGATGGATGCTAAAAGAATACTTTATAATACTACTTGATTAATATCCGTCGGTAACGCTAATGTGCTTAGATTAGCAAGTGTGCGCTTGTAAAAATGACGCCTGGCTTGAATGCTCCACAGGGAGTGGAGAATGTTCATACATTGTGTGCGGGTAAGCCTGAATCCAATGACCGGGTCAATAATATTTATATATTTGTAAAGCGCTTTGAGAGGGCCTTCGGTCCTGAAAAGCGCTATATAAGAACTAGCTATTATTATCATTATTAACAGCAGGTGAATGTCATTTTTTAGCTTAAAATTTAGAGAGACAAAAAACCCGTTGGCTGTCTGTAGCATATTGAGTATATTAAGACTAAAAAGAGAAGGATGAAGTCTAACACGATCGCAACTATTTTCGAAAAATTAAATCAAGGGAAATGCCAAAACCCTTTTGTATGTTTCATAGAAATCTTGTTCGGATTACGTAACACGTCATTTTCATGCTTGGCACATCTAAGTAGATGACGCACAAGGATATTCAAAGTAGTTGCTATAACCGTCTTTCTTTTGATTTCCTTTTGGACATAGAACGGTCAATATTTAAACAAGGTAAAAGATGACCTGATAACGGGAATAGCCCTTTGACCATTTCAAGCTATTTGAACAGTTTGCAGAAATTACAGATGTTGTGTATTAGGCTGAAGGTATATGGACAACACATGTATTGACCGGGAAAAATGGTGCCAAAACGGGAAGGATATGAGGAACAAAATAGGTAGAGTGAAGAGGAAAAGTGCCAGAGTACAAAAATGAAAACGTGAATTTGTTTAATTTAGTATATGATGAGGTGTGTGTTTTTGTTTGTTTTTGTTTTTCTCGTTTTTTTGCAATGAATTAATCCCTGTGAAAATATATTAGTTTTCTTTGCTTAATTTCTTTAATCATAAAAGTATAACGGTTAAACGGGTTCTAAATACTTTCCAACATGTATGCCTATTCACAGTTTAAATCATCTTACTTAGTTAACCAAGTCACAATCGGACACCCCACCCCCCCCCCCACCAAAAAAAGGTTCTAAGTTAGGGAAGAGAACATTGTATAGGCTTACCCTTTAACCCCCCCCCCCCGGCTGCCCTCTTCTATCATTGCAATCTGTTATTCTACCTACTGTGTTCTTCATGTATTTTGTTGATTTTTATTTAGATCTGGTTTTATCTGGTTGATGTTTTTCGTGCTACGGGGCTGACTGAAACACAGATTGGTTTTGTGACTGTGTGGCTGGGATTAGGAAATGTAATCGTTAATTTATTATCGGTAAGACAATTACACCCCCTCTGCTGAGTAGTCTGCAAGCACATACTCTAATTTGACACTTTATCAAAAAAATCATTGTGCCTTAAAAAAAAGCCTAGTCCAGATACTACTGGTTGTGTCAATATCAGAAACAGCTTTAGTACATGGCCTATGGTAGTCTTATAGTGCAGATTCTCTTTTACGACTGACCAGGGTTTGTGCCTGCAAACTATCTGCCGAAAGCCGTCCAGATTTTTGTTTTTAATCCTTTGAATACCGAATGTTCTCATTCTCTCATGTTTTAAAACAGGGACCATGCGGTTTCCGTAAGGAAAAGGTTAACAAGCTCCACCGCCGCGCGATCCCTAAAGCTTTTGTTGTGGTTCAACCTTTAATATTAAACCAGTAAATTTTGACCATTTCCACCATATAAATTCTCTTTACATGATATGAATTTTGAAGATGAAAATTATTTGATTCTTCCCCTTTATTTATGCTTTAGTTGGCGCTATCCCCAAACTTGAAGGTTGGGCGTGCGAATCAGAGCCATACATGTAATAGATACATGCATATTATGGCGCTGGTATGAATTAGTCTATAAAGGGACACTAGTATGAATTCGTGGATTATGCCATCTTCGGCTTGCTGCAGGTAGGGGATGGATATTGCGAAAAAGGAGAACAATTAAGGACTAATTAAGAGAAAATGCATTGATGACCGTCTGAAGACAACGGGTTAACAACCTTATCCATGACGATGCAAAAGACAACGAACCAGCCTAAAACTAACCCAATTTTAAATACAAAAAGAGAAATGTTAAATTACGATTAGCCGTCCGTCCGTTCGGGATAAAAAAAAAGGAAGGAAATTGAAAATGCCTTGAACTTGGACAGATGAAAACTGACTTTGCTGAATTGCTCTGTATTCTGTATCCATTTTTTTTTTTTTAACTTTCCCAGGGTTACTGTTTTGACAGATTCGGTCGACGGCCTGTAATAATGGGAGCGCTTGGTGTCTGTATACTAAACCTGTGTACTTTAACAGTTTGTATGCAATTTCAGGTGAGACTTTTAACATTCCCACTATAAATTTGTTAATAAAACTAAAGTTTTTGTACTTTATTTTCAAATCTAGTTATTTAATTTGTATGCGTTACATGTATCGTGTTTTTAATTTGATTGCATTTAACTGTTATTTACATTGTACTGATTCCATTAATATTTCACCAACCCAAGATGGCTTCCTAATAACTTATTATGTCAGTTCCAACAGCTAGAAGAGAAAAATGAATTATAGTGAATTTTGACGTTTCTGTTTGTTTAATGTTCCTCATTTAAACAAATAAACATCGAATAATCTAAGTTAAACTTCTTATTAAATTTCAATACGATGCTGGACTGCAAATAGATATTGCATCATATTTCATATAAATTATCAGTAAATATATCATTTCAATCAGAAAGCGACAGACATGGTTAATTAGGGACACAATTGCACAGACTTTCACGAAATCAACTCAAGTACAATATCAATTATTGTCTATTGCACTGTCTTCAGAAGTTATGTTCGTTATGGTTCAACATTAAGAAAGGTAATAGACAAGTTTCTTATCCTTGAAACAGAAAATAACTAAATGCAAAGATTGTTCATAGGCGACCATCGCCTTCCAGTTCAAATTTGTTAATTACTGTTTGCAATCAGGGGCCCGTTTCATGAAACTTATTATCTATGACAACTGCTAAATTTTTATGACACTTTTGCTTTCAGCCAATCAGCTGCCGTGATTTCAGTAGCTTATAACAGTAGCTTGTAACTTGTTATCGATATCAAGTTTTATGAAACAGGGCCTTGTTGTCTTCTATTTTAGACACACTATTCGTGGTTGCCCTGGATAAGCGCTGCACTGATTGCCTGTCATACCTTCATGGTTAGTCTCGGTCCAGGTAAGTCATGGACACCCAGAAAGGTCCCGAATTCGAAACCCAAGGTAATGTCCTAAATTATATCCTTTAGCAAAACATTAGTCGTCAATTCCCAAGACCGTTGGATATGATTTAAAGCCGTTAATCCCACAGTTGTCTAGAATGCAAAATAACTGGACATTTGTTAGCTATAAAAGTCTTCCTTTGAATCAGTTGCTGATCTAAATCATCGTTTTTCAATGGGGGTGCCGAGGCATCCTGGGGTACCGCAAAACATCTCTAGGGGTGCCGCGAGAAAGATTTATTTATATTATATTTCATTTTAGAATAACGCTAATTCGCAAAAACATAAACACAAAAACCCACTGTGTGTTTTCATGAAGAAGAAACAAATTTAAGTTAAGTTTTTCATATCTTCCTCCTCGCATATATCCTCGATCGAAACATTTAGAAACAACCGAAAAAGATGATTTCAGGCCACGAAATGACTAAATACCTCCATTTATTGGCAGCGAGATGCCCGATTATTCTTCTACTTGACGGCGAGGTGCCCGTTTATATCTGATATTTTGTTTGTATAAAACTTATATTTTTACCACGCTCGTTCCCTTCGATCGCTTGCAACATTCAGTAACATGATATTTTGAGGCAATGAAATGCCTGAATATCCTCGTATCAAGATGACCGGATAATAATGATTTTTCATTCATGTATTCAGGGGAGAGGTACCCGCATACATGAAGTTATATAACATCAAGTGTGCTTTGATTACAAAATAACAATTTTACCACACTAAAGATTTTTTTTTCTCGCGCACTTCACCCGCTCGCAAAATTAAGAACCACTACTGCCACTGCAGTGGCGGATCCAGGGGCCCCGGCCCCCCTCCCCTTGAAGAAAAAAAAACGTATAAAAACACGTTAATTTTACCCTTTTTTGGCGATGCACCCCCCCCCCCCCCAAAAAAAAAAAATAATAATAATTTCAATTCTTTAAAGGGTAATAGAATATAACAGTAGACAGTCTTTAATGAATAATTGTTCTCCTTCCGTAATACGTCAAGGTGCGGCTCCATTCGTTATTTGTACGGAGATCTGGTCTCAGGGTCCCCGGAGCTCGGCCATGGCGTTTGGATCACAGGTCTATTGGACGATGAACTTCTTGGTGGGAATGCTCTTCCCAACTCTGCAAGTAAGTTGGGCTACAGTGACGTATCTGGTGGAGGTGTCGTTATATAGCGGTTCATTCACTTAACTCTGAATCAAGGGCTTCAGGTTTTAAATCCCAGCTCGGTACGCTGAGGATGCAAAATTCATTGTAGTTTGCTCTGCATTGCAAGATACTCCCCAGAGAGTGGATAATGTGCATACATTGTGTGCGGGCAAGCCTTATTTCCCATGACCGGGATACTATATCTTTAAAGTGTTTAGATTCATCGTCGATGTGTTAAGCAACAAGCGATAGAAACCCATAATATAATTATGTTTAATATACAGGAGGACGGGGGGAGGGCGCACGGGGTTGGCATATGGCTCCGAGTAGTCTCATTGGGCAACGCCCCCTATCGCCAGAGTCCAGTAGCCTAACATGTTAGCCTATGGACTTTTACCAAAAAAAACTTTAAAAATTCATATTTTGTTTAAACGCAAAGCACATCCACCCGACGTACGTTGACACTAGCTCTTTCATTGGAATCCTCATGTCCCATTGACTTTTGAAAGTTCACCCACCCTAATTTGGTCAAAATAGGTCGCTAGCTCGCCATTGCCTATATAACACATGTGAAACAAGTCGAACTTTGGACGCAATTTGCCACGCGATTGTAAGGTTATAGCTCAAGCACACGAAGGATAACAAGCATGAATTATCATAGATCAGTTCTGATCAGTTCATTATGTCCATTTCAGCCAACTCCCCACCGTAATTTTTCAATTTAGTATAGGCAAGCTTTTTGCCGAGGTAAGCAAAAAAATGAATATTCATGATCGCCATGGACTATTCGATTATTTACAGAGGGGTACAATTGTGCACCACTTCAAACTCCCCTACTTTCAGTCAAGTATTTCATTGTATTTTGTAGTTTGGTAGGTTAATTTTAATAACTGTTTAATTATCAGATATCAATGATAGTTAAAAGATATGGAAAATGTTCTTGCATTTTATATTTTAACAAAGCAATCTCACATACAAAATCACTACCAAGTGTCGTTAATCCGCCGATTGTCGTCTGCTTTATACATTCAAGGCACATTTATCTGTGGACTGTGATGTAGATCGACAGTTTCCTCGTCAATCCTCATCGTAGATTTATGATTAGCCATCTGTCATTATTAATCTTTAATTGTTCACACACATACAATTACCACACACACGAACACTCTCACTTCCCCTCCCCAACACACCATTCCGCACACCCGGTTCACCCAATGGCATACACCCTGCAACATAGTGGAACATTCTAGTTTGGAAGTGCCGTCGAACTAGCTACGTTAATGATCCAGCAAGCGAAAAGGAGACAACCGGAGCAATATGGGGGGCACGGGTATTAATGATAAACAAAGTGAATAATTTTGCTCTTGATATTTTGACGATTTATATACAATACATTACAAAAACTTGATTTTCGTGCTATAAATCGTTGCTTGACAATCTGTATCTAAAGCAGTAAATGAACGGTGGTGGGGCTCTTTTCATTTGTAGTGAAATTCGACATGTGAGCAATATTTCAACCGAAATTCACGTTATTTATGTCTTTTAATTTTGCCATAAGCCAGAATCATTAATAGTTAACATATGTTTAGAAAACTTCTTTGTTATATTATGTTTTATGGGTGTATCCTTGGATAGTTATTAATAATGAAAGTGGTTTTGATGTGACCATGAATTGTTCTTGTTTTGTGTTTAAAAATTTGTCTCTTTTTTTTTACAGGATGCTCTCGGCCCATATTGTTTTTTACTCTTCGCAGGGAGCCTTGGTTTGATATTGATATATTTCTGGTTTGAGCTGCCGGAAACTAGAAACAAAACATTTGAAGAAATTGCCTGTGGTTTCACAAAGAAACCAACGTTTGAAAATAAAGATCCACTCACAAGATTACATGGAGACCTTCCTTTACAAAAATCGTGAATAAATTCGCTTGAAGAAGTGTGTGTATATCATTCTCCAGAAACAATGGCCCACATCACGTGATACTATGAGAGTACACCAAAGGCAAGTTGATATGCTGACGAAGAAGGAATAGAACAAGAACATGATAAACATGGAGATGAAGAAGGAGAGGAAGCAGAAAAAGAAGATGAAACAAGTATAAGGACAAGAATAGAAATAAGAAGACGAGGAGATGGAGGAGAAGTAGGAGGAAGGGAAGAAGAAGAAGGAGAAGGAGAAATTTGGAGATGATCATAAAATAAGAAGGAAAGAAAAAGGAGAAAAATATTTTTTTTTAAACGAAGAAGAAAAATATAAAAAGAATAATAAGTAAATGAATAAAACATACAAATATATCACCCTACGATTTCCTTTTTTTCTTAAATTGTTCTTTTAAAGTTGTGAAAGAAGCTTATTAGGAGTATTATTCTAAATGGTAGACGAAACTGAAAATGTTCTAGATTTTAGTAAGTTTGTTAAAGATATATTTATATATTTATATAAGCGACAAAAGGTATTTTCATCGGTTTTTATTTTATTTGAGTAAATTGGCCACTCACTTTTAATCGTAAGATATCAGTATTATAATAGGCCTATTACTATACTGTAATCAACTCGAATTCGTGAACGTATATCTATTTGTTAATATTTTTTATATATGCATTTAACTTGTTTTAATGATTTTTTTAGGGGAGGGGTTATGCCATGCAAGGGATATTTAAAACCATATGAAGGAGTATTCCTTAAAGAACGTTTAAGAATGTACTTTAACAAAAAATAAGCACCAGTCATTGGCCCATATTGTGTAATATATAATAAAGAAGCTCGGCGTTGATCAATTTGGCCGCAGACAAAGATTTGAAGAGCGCCAGCTTTGATCTCACTCTAACTCGATTCAAATTTGTCTGAAGATAGAAGAAGGTGGAGGATAGATGATTAAAAAAAATTGAATAGGTAGATCGATGTTCTAACTCATTTATACATTTCCTACTTTATTTGTACGATATCCTTTGAACATCCTTATCGTTACGTCAATTTCAATTTTGGAGATGCATATGGTATATATTTATATGTTAACAGGTAATCCAGCTATTTTATGAAGCGTGTGATTGTCTCCTACATGTTGTAGATAAACAATGAAGAATACATTTTCTATTTTTAGTGCTCAATAGCAATCTTGTGTCGAACATTACACTTTCTGTTTATATTCAAACATTACAATTCTCACAACTTTCTTGTTTTAATAGACTTGTTTTCTAATATTATTGCATGTTCCTTGAACAATAATTTCTCTTGAAAACTACAAAACATGCCAGAGGCTTGCCAGACCTAGCTTCAGTATATGTATGCATGATGGATCCATTAATAAAGATTACCCGAGCAGGTGACTTAGATAATGACCAGGGGTGTTGCAGAAAAAACATCTATATTGAAATCCTTTAGTAGTAAGCAATACAATCGTACGTTCATTGTTTATATTATATCCAATAATCAATTGTAATAAATAATGTATTTATAAGTAAGATATTATAATGCTTTTCTGAATAATTTCTTGTTTCATGTTAAAGTGTTTGATGCTCGTTCAGTTATGATCATAGTATTAGCATCACTATTGATTCTAGGTTGATCTGTGAGTATGAGTTCTTCGGACGGATTTGCATTTCCAATCCTTATATTCTTTACTTCTTTGAATTTCGCCCCTCTTTCATTTATTCATTTATTCCTCCCCTATCTCTCTCTCTCTCTCTCTCTCTCTCTCTTTCTCTCTCTCCCTCTTTTTCTCTCTCCCTTCCTCCATCACCCCTCTCCCTCTCTCTCTCTCTCTCTCTCTCGTTCTCTCTCCATCTCTCTCTCTCTGTCCTTCTCTGACTTTATCTTTCTCTTTCACTGTCCATCTCTACTCCCCCTTTCCCTTTTTTTTTCTCTCTCCTTCTCTCACTTTAATCTTTCTCTTTCACTGTCCATCTCTATTCCCCTTTCCCTATTTTTTTCAAATTTCTTTTTTTAAATACCTGACTAAAATATTCGCTTCCCGGACATTTTTGCCAAACACACACACATAATATATACTCTCACACGACACACTCCCAAACTCATACACAAAGATCGTTTAAACACATTTACATTTTAATTTTTACTTAAAGTTTTTTTTTAGGCCGCCATCCTTGTCGAGCATCGCTTATGATTGCGGTATTTTGCACTTTTTTCACAGATAGTTCGGATAATACACTGTCGCTCATAAAGGTGGAATATTTTAGTTTTACCCCAATTTATGGAATTATTTTAAAAATTATTTAAAAATAATAGATATAGATAATAGTATACATTCTCAGATTTTATTGAATAATAACTTGCCAATGTGTGTTTTGCGGAACTGTTAAAGCACGTGTATGCTATTATGCTTATTAACTAGAGGACCTACGCTCTGAAGTCATAAATGACAGTAATGAGGATCAATGCCCCACAAAAGGGCAATAATATAGCACTTCGACACGGTTTTGATCCTGGGGCCTCACAGTTACGAGGCCATTGTTTTGTCACTGAACCATGACTGTACGAAGCGGGGGCTAGGGTAGGGGGCAGTTTCCATAAATTAAAAAAAAACACAGAAAATGCAATAAATTTTCAATAATTTATTGCATTGTACCCCGGTCCCCAACATAAAAAAATCCTCTGGACGGCCATGCATTATGGCTCAAGACATGGGCACACATACATTTTTTTTATGTTAGGCACCGGGGTTAAATGCAATAAATTATTGAAAATTTATTGCATTTTTTTTTTTTTTTTTAAATTTATGGAAACTGCCCCCTACCCTAGCCCCCGCTGCGTACAGTCATGATTCAGTGACAAAGCAATGGCCTCGTAACTGTGAGGCCCCAGGATCAAAACCGGGTCGATGTGCTATATTAGTGCCCTTTTGTGGGGCATTAATCCTCATTACTGTCATTTATGACTTAAGGGCATAGGTCCCCTAGTTGATAAGCATAGTAGCATACACATGCTTTAGCAGTCACGCAAAACACACATTGGCAAATCATTATTCAATAAAATCTGAGAATGTATACTATTATCTAGATCTATTATTTTTAAATTATTTTTAAAATAATTCCATAAATTGGAATTTAAAAAAAATATTCCACCTTTATGAGCGACAGTGTACTTTAAATTTATATTATATGTTATCAAACATTTTGACATGAAGTTATCATTGTTTGTATATTTTCTATAATACCTTACGTCCATATGTTCTTTGTTATTTAGTTATTATATTTGGAAACATGCAGAAATAAATATCAAATCAAATCGAAATTCGGTTTGAGTTTGAGTTGGGCAAAATATGGTGAATAATGTTTTGTTGGACAAGAACACACAAACAAACCGTTGTGGACTACCGACACCAAGTTGGCTCTGCTCCCCAATCACAACCAGCGCCATCTTGTGTTAGACATTAACCCATTCCTCCGTATGTCTATGTGTCTCTCTGTCTGTCTTTATACCACTCTCTCTCTCTTTAATTTGAATGATTGCGAAAGAAGTCATACAACAAGAACCCAATATCATGAATAAAAAGAGCAACAGATGTACTTATGCTTATGACATTACCTCTCCAAAGGGCAAAGGAGAGGTTGGTGGGTGAAAGGAGGGTAAAAAGGGGGAGGGGCAGTAATGCAGCCATCCAAGTTTTCCCTCTGGACCTTTACTTCCTACACTAAGCAGGTATTTACAGACGTGTTACCTTGTGTTTGGCCTCATGGCACTCGCATCCACAACAGTTCAGCCGCCATAAATCGTCAAACTGGAAAAATGATACGATAAATTCCCTTAAGAACATCAGTGACGATCGATTTTTGCATAACAGATTTTTACAAACTCCGCTTCTACAATTCTGTCTCCGCATGTGTTAGGCCATGATAAGTGAATGCCCTTATTGTATTGTTAAAAAACTTGGGGCACTACCCTTGAACATACCAAAGAAAAAGGACAATAGTTTCAGCAAATAAACAAGACCAATAAATTTAAGTGAGGAACTTATGGTAATATCATTATTTCTACTTCAAAGAATAAAAATAAGTTTATTCTACCTTTTAAGAATTTCACAGGAAGGTTCTTTAAAAAAAACGAAGAGGGCATCATGTACTAGTGGCGTAGCGTCAGTTCCAGACATTGAGGCTTCGGTGGGGGGGGGGGGTCATAAGGGCACCGGTCTTATTCAATACACGACTTTAAGAGGCCCAACATTAACGAGAAGGTGGCTAAGAGGGGTTTGTCGCGCCTACAGTTCACGTTCGATTTCCGCCTCCCCGTTTATTCCCCTTTTCTTTTCCTTTTGCCATTTTATTTATATGGAGGAGGCAAATACCTCCTGTGCTCCCCGTACCCATGGTAAAGTTTAAAAAAACATTTCAAGTTATTGCAAAAGCATGATTTGGCAGGGGCGTAGAATGGGTTTAGTTATAGGGGGGTTAGTTGTATGCGTGTCTTATTAGATGCATTCAGGTGAGTGTATATAATGTAGCCGGGGTTGGGGGTTTAGGAGGGATTGTGTCAAAATTTGTGTCAAATTACATTTGTTTTCACTTTCCCATTTTCTATCTTTTTCCCATTCTCTCTCTCTCTCTCTCTCTCTCTCTCCCTCTCTCTTTCTCTCTCTCTCTCTCTCTCCCTCTCTCTCCCTCTGTCTATCTCTCTCTCTCTCTCTTTCTCTCTCTCTCCCTCTCTCTCTCTCTATTTCTGTCTCACTCTTTCTTGGTGTTTTTCTTTTCCATTTTGCCATTCCATACGTTCTTCATTAATAAAAAAACGGCTTGATCATTTATAAGGTTTACATATGACATGTTATAAGTTATTAAATGTCAAATGTAACATTCTGTCCTCGCTTTTTAATGTAGATATTTTTAAATAAATGAGCCAGATTGGTTCATCAATAGTTTAAGTGAAGGTTAGTTTTTACCAAAATAACTGAGAATAATCTAAACAGGAACAACGTCTAAGGCTGAATTATATCAAAATCATGAAAACAGTAAATGTCAGAGTATCGGAAGATTTTTTCGTAGTTTCCAACAATTTTCTATTCCAAATCTTTCAGAAAATGATTCTATACATGGAGCAAAGTGTCGAAGTCTTTAAGTTTACTCGGACTCTATTTTGTTTAAAGTTTTCATGTTTTAAAGGGATTGGGTAACTTAATTTGTCTCAGATTCTGAAACGAAATCCTGGATTTAGCTCATGCTGCAATGATAATTTTAAACCTTTAGATCAGTCAGAAACCCCATGATTTAATACAAGCCGATCACCTGTCTGATTATCAAGATATTAATGATTGGAAATCGAAATTTAATAATTCGTTTTCCTAACGATTTTTATGACACTACAGTCTATTGGGACAAATGAGTATGATAAAACCGGTCACTAAAAGATTTTTACTTTTTGGAGGCACTTCATGGTCATTTTGAAGCGCAATTTGTTTATTGCTCCAATACTACACCATATCACAGACACTGATATAACGTAGGGCAGTGCATCTCATATTTAACATTGTTAAACGATGCCTTTAAGAAAGAGAAAAATATGGTAATAATGTCAAAACATACTTTAAATGCGAGCCACCTTCAGTAGTTTAAAACTGTTTTCAGTGTAGTTTCTAGTATTTACCAAAATAAATGGGAAAAATACATTCAGGGACAATGTTAAGGCTTCGTAGGATCAAAAACATGACAACAATAAATGTCAGAATGTCGGAAGTTTTCTTCGTACTTACATAAAATTATTTATTCCAAATCTTCTGGATCTATTTAGGGATTTGTTATGACAATAAACATAGTTTTACAGTTATGAAATTTAACTTCTTTTTCAGAATACAACCCCGGGTCACGTTCCAATACCATACCAAACGTGATACAAACTGACTGTCAATGGTAAGATATAGGCTCATCCCAAAAAGGAAAACATTAATAACTTTAAAAATGAACATAAAGTTGGTTTCAGAATTGTATTTCTTTCCCAGTACAGAAATCACTTCACTATAAACTGACAAAATGACCGGGTCAATAATTATTGTGGACTTTGAGAATTACAAAAACTTTTAAATAAACTCCCCCCCCCCCCCCCTCCCTCCGAAGTTTTCAGAAAACAGGTACATTTTTGTTTAGACGTGAATTGTGAAGATATAAAGCAACGCTTCTATTTTGCTGGTCACATATTATAAAACTGTTTGAATAGAATAATGGAAATTTTGATTCATACTGCTGATGTGGTGTGGGGGTGTCTCCAGCACGTCATACTACATAAAATGCCTTCATTACTCTCTCTCTCTCTCTCTCTCTCTCTCGCTCTTTCTCTCCCTCTCTTGCTCTAATTCACTATCTACTCTCTATCTTTCTATCACTATAGTGCAGTATGTGTTGTATGTGTTTTTACATTCTGCCCCCCCCCCCCTTCCCCCTCTCCCCCTCTCTCTCTCTCTCTCTCTAACTATCCTTAACGATATTTATAGTAAAATATTCCCTCTCTGTCTTCTTTCAACCGTGTTCTATTATTCTTTTTTCATATCTCCATCTGTCTATATCGCTTCCCACCCCACCCCTCTGTCTGTCTGTCTCTGTCTCTGTCTCTCTCTCTCTCTCTCTCGATCTCTCCCTTGCTCTATTTTCCTTTTTTTCTATCTCCCTCTCTCTCTGTCTCTCTCTCTCTCTCTCTCTCTCTCGCTCTCTCTGTCTCTCTCTGTTTCGCCCTTCTGTCTCTTTCTCCCTCTCTCCCCCTCTTTACCTTACGAGATTGCCGTCCATTGCGTGTTTCTTGTTGCTTTCCATACCCATCTCTTACTATTTTAACATGTTTAACGCTGTCCATTAGTAAGTGTATAATATATTCCCCTCTCTCATGTCTCTGTCTTCTTTCACCCGTCTCCCTGTCTCTCTTTTTCTCTCTCTCTCTCTCTCTCTCTCTCTCTCTCTCTCTCTCTCTCTACATATATATATATATATATATATATATATATATATATATATATATATATATATATATTACTCTTGCTCCCTCTTGTCTCCCTCCCTCCCTCTCTCTTTTTCTCTATGTATGTATCTCCCTCACTGTCTTTTCTCTCTTTACCTCTCTCTCTTTACATACATATGTTATGTATATATCTCCCTCAATGCATTTTCTCTCTTCCCTTCTTCCTGTCTCTCTCTCTCTCTCTCTCTCTCTCTCTCTCTCTCGCTCTGCAGATCTTAATAGACAACAATAATTAAAGAAGTGCCTCATCAACGTCTTCATCTCTTGATAAGATCACACTATACTCCTCACATACACCAACTTTACTCACATTACAATTGTAAGTCTTAAAATTGAAATAAGTTGATTCATGACACAATTTATTTTTCATATTTCTTTTCTATTTATAGGAGGTTTTCGACACAGTATAACACAATTTAAAACAATGTAATTTTTCAGAGAGGAAAAAAAAAGTCGTTAAACACTGCAAGTGAATGACTGTTCCACCAAATTAGAATCAAATGTACATATTTCGGCTGTGTTCCTATGCTCAGTCATATGAATGCTAGAATGATTTCCTTCTTATTTACAAGCAATATGATATCATAAACGGACGAATCACGAGCTAATTTAAAAAATCGTACTCCTTCAAACAATCTATGGCGAAATAAAAATGTCTTTATCTGTTATTTTAATGAACAGTGTACTACGACTGAAAGAAAATAGGGTTTATACGAATTTAGTATCTTCAGTACCTATTAACAGTGACGTGAGGAATATAACGCCCTCCTCCGCAACGCTACAAAAATATTCCATACTTTTCAATGACGATCATTCATAACTTTCATTTATCTCCTGGATAAGACTTATTCGCCAAACATTTCTGATCTTCAAAAACAAAATATTGCACATGAATCTTGCTCAGTATTTGTTCCTTAAAATTAGACATATCAATGTTGTAATCGGATTTACATCCCCCGCGTTAATATATATGTATTTGTTGAAGACTGGTTGTAGTGTTATGAATGGTTAGTTCTTTCTTGGTATCATGTAAAAGGTAACGATGTCATGTTCTTTCTATTCTTAATGCAAACTACCCTTCAATTTAATACGATGCGTTAAATTCTGTTTAATATTATTATGAACATCAGTCTTTACAATTCTTCTGAAAGTATCATGCTTTGCATGTTTTGAGCACCTAATGAACTTATAAGAAGTGTTAGCATTTCTTTCCCGACTTTAAGAGTTCAATTGAGAATCATGTCACTGTTACTTTTTATACCTAAAAGCGCCTGCGGTATTTGCTTAATAACATTGAAAATCTCCAATCAAGTACATCTTCAATTCTTGGAGTAATTGGTAACCAGACAATTATTTCACGGATAAGAGGTAGGAGAGATGTGAACTCACGAATACCGAAGATGGAATTATTATTTCACAAGGAGCTCCTTGATTCTTATGAGCTTCTGAGAGGTTCTTATTACAAAGCGAAAGAATGGGCATTAGGTTGTCTTATTAGAAACTTGAATCCAGGGCATCACAATCCTTTTTTGTCATGGTAAATCATGAACATTGAGATTAAAAGTGACTTTACTTCTATTTTAGATTTATCCATTCGTAAAGTAGATCATAACAAAAAAGGGCATGAGTTTTCATAACCTGTTAGTTTATCATTACACAAGAGAGAAAAATTGTAGAAAGTTTGCTGAAGACTGCCGTTTAGAAAATCTCAACAATTGTTTATAACGATGAGCTGAAGCAAATACAAATCGATTGCGGGTGTTACTGTCTGCTAATTATTTTATTTCACCAATTTTTGGGTTTTGAACAGATATTATATTGAAAACGTTCACGCCCTTACGTCATTAATGACAAATAATGGTTTCATAATTTGCTTAAACGCAGGGATGGTGAAAGTGTTTGACTCGCAGTTAATGAGTTACAGTTCAAACTTCATATTTAGATTGGACCCGTTGGAGTAATCATTATTATCATAGTCCTCTCACCAAAGAGAGAATTCTTTTGATCCTAAGCAAGAATTGAGAAGAAAGCATGCTGATCACATTCAGTACAAACATCGGCGCTATTTTATTAATTTTTTCTGATAGAATTCGAGTTTTTTTTTTAAGGACTGCATTTTATTGATCTTCTCGTTTTCCAAATGCAAAGGCTAGATCTCCCCGCTTGTATGGACCTGACTCTTCGGCTGCATTGGCAAAGTCCTGTTCCCTCGGCGCCCAATCTCGACGTCCAAATACGAATGCTGAACCGCCATGTGGCCTCTTACCGAACGCAAAACTCGGCATCAGACCTCGCTTTCCGAACGCAAAACTGGGCTGGGCTCTTTTGCCGAATGAAAACGCCGACATTCCTCGTTTTCCGAACGAAAACGCCGAGTAGGCGTCCTTCTGCACTTGGTGACTATCGACGAGGCTGTCATAGAGGGCGGCATCGTTTAATAGCGCCAGCTTGTCACTTTCCCTCCAATCATCTGACATCTCTGCGTTTCGTTGAAGCTCTTCAAGTAATTGTTCGGCCAAAGGTCTTGAGATCACTGGCGTGGGTGAAGACCTCTTGCCGAAAGTGAATTTAGAGCGGGTTGTAACTGGGGGTCGCCTTGCGGCGTACTGTGCTCGTGCTCGTATCTCTCTTTGTGGTCTAGTGGACCCAGTCGTACGTTTCGATAGACTCAGCTCGGCTTCATCCTCAGCCTCGTTTTCGGCCTCCATTTCTCGCTCTTCCGCTGCCCCGAATACTTCTCGAATCAACGATTTTGCTATCTGCACAAAAGACATGAAAAAAGAACACATAGTGAGCACGTTGAATGATAAATCAAACTAGATGAGATAAAGCTCAAGGGCTTTCTATTAAAGATGCATTACCTTTAATTTATATTTTGTCACCTGGCTAATTTGGTTTACCAATTTGAGACCTTGCTCCATGGTTGAAGACAATCAGTTCTATTAGGCTCAGAGATTTCTACATTAATTGTGTCTTACCCTTTGGCGGGAAAACATCACTCATTCAGATTATCAAGCGGTGCCAGGACTAAATCTTTCCATTATTGTAATTTTGTAGATTCAATGTGTATTTGGGAAATTCACTTCAAGTACCGTATGCAAATGATTTTCCTTTTAACAGGGTCGCAAAGACTTCCAGAGGGAAAAAAATCCTGAGGCATTTTCAGTAACGTTGGTCAAAATCTGCAACGCTTTTTATACTTTTTTAAAGACATTACAATAGGCTATTGAAATAGCCTTTTAGTTTGTTTCTCGAAGATCTGTGCAATGGGTTTTGTTTTTGTAGTGTGTTCTTAAGGATGTTCTTAATGCCTACATCGGCGGCGAACCACACACTTGATCATGAATATCTTTATTATAAAATCTCTCCTCCGTTCCACCCACCAGGTGCTTTCAGAATACTCCAGGGCTGCGCCTCCAAAATGAACCTCTGAAATATTTGGGGTAATATCTGAAAAATCCTTCTCATTTCTGCGAAGATAATCTTCAAGCAGTTTCCTGCACTTTAAAGGAGCACTGGTATATATTCTTGTAGCCAATAGGAAGATTCATCTCACAATCGATTGAAGTCAATCGTTTAAGAATTTGAAGTTAGATAATTATTCATAGTTGAGGAACCTGCTCGCGATAAAGTCTTGAATGTTCGACTCAATTAAAACGTTTGAAAGACGATAATGTACTTCATGTAAAAGCAAGTGATGTAAAGAATTTTAGTGGCCGGCAATATCACGCAAATTCGACGGGTAGGTATAACATAAGACAAAATAATTTAAAACAAAGAACATAGGTTTGTCGTAAATCGCGATCATAAGAAAATAAGAACAAGAAAATTAATAAACAAGAAAGGACACAAGAAGCATCATGGAAAAAGGCTGATGGAAAGATTTTGTAATTTGTACTTTAAGTTTAAGCAGCCAAAAAATGCCTAGGAATGGAGTGTGGGCGAAACCTTACCGAGTTAATGTTGTTTTGCCCTGTGCCCTCTTCTCCGACATCTGCCATTTTATTCTCGACGAATTTTTCCTCGGGCATGGTGAAAGACAGAACCGGTGACGGAGCGATGAAACAGAGACATAGCGCCAGCGCCACCAGCACTCTCATCGTAAAAAGCATCTGCAATGAGGGAGAAATCGAGGAAATAAAGGGTCATTACTGGAGCGAAATTGGTGGAAAACATAGATAGGACATGGAGCGAGAATTAGATCATACAATTTTGGGGAGGAAGGAAGCTGAAATCTTATTAGTTTGATTAAACAGCGTCGCTCAGACGAAAGACAAGACCAGACGACATGGTCTTTATGCTCGGTACGGGAGTGGGCGATAATACAATCTTTTGAGCCCTCATGCTTTGAGCAAAGGATTTTTGGCAAGCTCATTATCCATTTAAATACTCCCACTCACTTATGCCACTAAAAGGGTGAGCGTTATTGACATATCAAAACCATAAAAATGTGTCGCAATTCCTCCCACAAAAACTGACAAACTGACAACAGAACCGTTTACATGAGATGGTTTAAATAAGCAGAAGCCAAACAAGAAGCTGTTCAAGAAAATAAATTTGGTAATCGTGACTTTAAAAGGAATTGTAAGGCTTCTAAAACATTAATAACAAGTTGTTAGGATAACATCGCAATGTTTGATAATCCTCGGTGTCAAGACGAGTAACATTTCCATTCACAGATTGACGACATTTAATTAAACTCAAAACAGACGGAGCTTTTCGGAACATGGTATTTCCTTGCAAAATATATGCTATGTACAAATCGTAAAAAATGTAAAAATTTCTGCTCATCAATGATATGATATTTTTAAGATCATATGACTGTAAAGCAAATAAACATGGAGTATCAAATGAAAACGAAAATATATCACAGTTAAATAAATGGTATACGTATAACAATGGAATAACTACTAACTGATGTCTTTGTGAAACGGTTATTTTTAAACGGATGAACAAACTGATGAGAGGCATAAAAGTTGACAGAAAAACATCAATAACGTTAAGAGATTACATGAGACAAATAATTGGTATCCTTGGTAAATTTGAACATGAGTAGAGAGTGAAAGAGAAAGAGAGAGAGAGAGAGAGAAAGAAAGACACGAGAATCTTATCATAAATTCATGTATGTTTATAAAATGTACCGCGCTGAAATAGCAATTATCTATTTAAAAAAACGTACAACACAAATCAAAACATGAATGATAAATCTTCTCTTCGTTAGAAAATGTCGGAAGGGTAAACAAAAGCAGAAAAGTTCTGAAACCCTGTCTTAAATTAATTCACAAAATTACATTCGCATTGATCTCAAAGATAAGTCTAAAATGTAAACAGGAAAGAAATAAGTATTGTTCGCAAAGGTGTCCTATCAAAAAAACATTTATAAATCAAGCAAAGAAATTGTTCTATACCAAACAAAATAATACAGAAATTTATATCCTCACAGTAAAAGAAAAAATTACATAAATGCATATTCGGTGGCTGAATGAAATATAATATTTACCAGAATATTTGAAGAATAATACAGGGGTGAGACTCTAAAACAACACGCGGAAGACGACTTAGTACGAACCCTTCTCACACTACAATGATTTGATGACTGCCAATACATTCTCTCCGATTTTACGAGCTCAAACAAGAACGAAAATAGAAAATGGATAGAAGCAAATGATATGTGGATGAAGTCCACCACGTAAAAATCCTACCGATAGACTGTCATTAAGTTGAATATATGGTAACTATCACTCCGTTTCCTTAAAGCTTTCTGCCAGTCTCTTTCCCTCACAATGAAAGGTAAGAGTAAAAACACAAGCATTTAATGCTTCAGGAGGCGGGCCAAAAAAGTGTGCGCTGTGCGTGTTGCTGCGCGTGTGCTGCTGATATAGTGTGCGTGTTAGTTCAACTTCACAGCATCGCCTTGCTTCCGTATGACTATGGCGCTATCCAATGGTAGGCGGTGTTTACGTATTGAAGAGGGGGTGAACTGCGCAGAGAAGGACAGTAGGAAGCATTTTTCTAGCGTCATTGCGCAGTCTCAACTCGGCATCCATCAAGCTTAAGACATCACCTGGACTCAACAGAGTTTGGGTGGGTGTTATGATCCTTCCATTAAGCTTAAAAATGGTCTGGAGATAAACAGATACAAAAGGTAATCGCCATATGGTAATACTAGGCTATATTTCACCATGTGCACTTCTCATCCATTCCGAGAGGCCATATTCTTTCTTTTTTCTTCAAACGGCCTAAATTAACAATTGCCATGTTTTTTCACTCCGCATTGAAAGAGTAAAACGTTAAAAGCCAAACGTTGTGACACAGATATAGAGATATGCTGAATGCATTTAAAAGAGAAGACTATTAAAACATGGCGTCGTATGCTATGCATCTTGTATTAACGCTTGTTGGTGATCTAGTCAATGTCAATGTCAATATGATGCACTTTGTTTATGGTGTGTGTCATGAAATGTATTAAATACATGCATATTAATATTATCGATAATTAAGTGAAATACTTGATGAAAAGTATCGAAATTACCCTTATAACACATTCAAAGAACTCATGACATATGCCATTTATTAAATAATGTATGTATAATTGTTCTCCTTCATTAAAATCCATATACTGTATATATAGATACAGGAAACAATGTTTTTTTTTTTATAAAAGCATGCATTGATAAAGATAGAAAAGAGTAGATTTCGGATCCATTAAATACTGAGCATTGATGAGCACGTTTGGCGGGGGTAATATTTATTTATAATCTCTTATTTATCAGTGGTGCAGTCATTCATATTTTAATTTCTTCTGTTACATGAAGATTATGAAAACAAATACAAAACTCAGACCCTAGTTTGATGCATGTATGAACAATCAATTCACGGTGCGATTGGCATTCCATGACGATAAGGGAGTTTACAGATACAATCTGCGCATGAGCAGATAAAGGTCATTTGTACCAAAATGGAAAAACTCACAGAGATGAATACTGGATATGCGCTCATGAAAGTTATGTAACATTATTCATTTATGCACCAACGGTACATTCGTTGATACGCAGGTGGAAGTATTCTTTTCAAGAGGTCAAACAAAAGGTATTCATGAAGCACATCTAGGACTTTGGCAGTTATTATTCTAAGATGCTCAAAGTGGAACTTCTCCATGTGTAAAAGATCTGTGGATATTTTGGGTCATTTGTACCATGTGCTATCTGTAAACTCCCTTATTCCGATGCTACAATGGCGATGCTATTCGTTCCTGTAGGTAATACGATCAATGAAATTCAGAGAACTGAAAACAATTGTTACCTCCTGACGATCATTCAGATGTTTCCAATTAGTATTCCATTTCCAAATGAACGAGCAAGGTTTGCTTTAGAAATCGTGAGGGCTGTGAACCACTTATCATAAAACCACTTATATAAACCCATCGGTGTATAAGTCCTATACCTAGAAATGGCTTCGTAGTAGCATTTGTAAACTATTTAATTGAGTGCCATGTAGGCGTGATAGAGGACGTCTTTAGTCCGAGTTCATAGGTATCTGTATCAAAGTAACAAACATATTAAATGAGAAACTCATAGTCATCTTTTGCAGATATGTGGTAATCAGGCTAATAGATTTGGTAAATATGATGACATTTTTTATTTATTTTTTTTTTTTTTTGCATGTGGATTTTTTTTAAATAATCGAAATCGCAGCCTAAGATAGCCTTGGCAAACAGAATTTTAGGGGTGTTATTAAGTCAAATAATGATTAAAGCCGTGAGAAACATATTAAGCGAGATATTTCTCGGTACCCGCATGTAAAAAATAAATTTGAGGACGATTGCAAAGACTTCTGATTCATAGAAATAAGCTCAGTGGCAATTTTCATATCCTATTTTATATCCCATAATTACAAATCATGTTCAGATTACGTAATACGTCATTGTAATGTCTGTATATTTCGAAGGTAATGAACAAGGCTTAAATGAACTTCTCTCGGGTGGATTCTCGAAAGTGTTTGTGATCATGCTCCATGAGTCACTTTTATTAAGCTCTATACTTTACACCCACAGGTGTTTTTGAATTACACAATATTAAAGCAACAAGTGATTGTTGAAAGCTTACTATTTTCCTATGCTTCCCTGAATCCTAGAAATACACAATCACAGGATGACATTGAAACTTTATATGAGAACTCCTTTTCAAAGATTGCGTCCATACGGGGTTTTCCCTAATCCCATTAGCATGATTTGTCTCGTGCTGGCGTCAGTGCATAATTACCAGCTCTGCCTGGTTAAGTATGTGTCGTACTTTTCAAGTGTTTGATAGATTAGGTTCATTTCTAGATTCAAGATTCAAGATTCAAATATTATTGTTTATATGTAATACACTACTTCCAGCTGGCCTTTAATACGTACTTCGCACCAGATATTATGACCCGTTAGGTAACGAAGGCCATTGTTGATGTTTTTTGTGCATAAGTTACACGTCACTTTTTGCTTTAGTTACTTGAATCATGGACCTACGTAGTAGGTCTATGCTTGGATCAATTATAAGAGGATTAATTAGATATCATTGGAAGTACCAGTAATCAGTTCCTTATTGATGTGGGTTGAACAATAAGCGTTCCTGGAAAGACATGAACAGTCTCTTTAAATACTCAGCAATTATACCTGTATGAATATGAATAAGCCGAACCCATAGAACTAGCGGTTGTGTGTTTGTAAGCTTAGGTAATCGTGCTATCTGCCCCCCCCCCCCCACCTTCGACTCACTTGTGCCATTAAAGGTGTGGGCGTTATAAACATCGAAACTATTAAAAACAATAAATCACTACTCTTCCCACGCCGACAGAAACTGTTTACATAAGGTACTCATCACGCCAAGATGAAAGCGGAAGACGAGAAAAAACAATTGCCAGGCCTATGTTAGTTTTAATTAATCGGTCCATTATCCGCTAAGTAAAGCGTCGACAAAAAAACTCGTTGCTAGGCTATTGTTAGCTTTATGTAATCAGGCAATTAACCGCTGAATTAAATTAACGTAGCTTAACCTGACTTCAATTAACCTCTACTACATGACACCGATTGAATATGACGTCATTCATTTTTCATTTTCTTTCCTGCAGGCTGCTCGCTCCTCATGATTATAAGGGAAGGGGGAATCTAAAGAAAGGGACTTGACCTTTAAGTCACCACCATCATCGCCAAGGCATGCGTCTTCAAGATTGGAGAAAACAATGAGAATTTTGATTTCTATTACCGGCATGGCGGGTAAATAACATCGCCAGCGGCTTTACACCAATGTGCAGTGAACCTGCGGCTTCGATGGCGTTATGATGCGATGGGTTAGAGCAGGGTAGGTTCTATTCTATAAATGGTGGGTGCGATCGTTAGGTAAAATTATATTGCAAGTACATGGCGGCCACCAGCAAAATGGAAAGATCATCGACATCTACTAAAAGGAGATGTCGATGATATAAATAACAGATAAACGATGGCTACCAATCACCCTTTTCAACGTGATTAACAGACTAGTACTTACAATAATATACAACTAAAGGGCAAGGTGACCTAACATTTGGAATGTTTGACAGTCTAACAAGGGAGCCACGATTAAACAAAGTGCACATCTACTTATCTGACATGAAGATAGACACAAATGAAATATAGTATTGCCATTTTCTATTCTTTTAAAAAGCACTATTATTATAAAAAGAAACAAAACGACTAATTTACATTTGTCATATTGTGCTGGAAAACATGCACGGACTTCTGGCTTTGATTTTCTATTTCCGGACAAAAGAAAAACCCGACAATCACACTCTATGGATACTTATGATACTAATTTGTTGTGTACGCGTTTTGAAGTAGGTGGCATAACATCTTACATTGTGTAATCTCGTATTTGATGATGAAACACTCTTGTGAGATATACAATAACTCTCTTCCCATTTTTAAAGTGCTTTATTCCGAAAAATGAAGTCCTTTATTCATATTCTGTATGAACGTCGTAACTATATACTCCCTTTTCTAAGTACCGCCAACTACCATGCTTACTTGTTACTTTAAGATTCAAAATGTTATGAAACCGTAAGAAGGCTCGAAAAAAATCAAATTGAGGGCAAATTGAATACCCTCTTGTATTTCTTCTAGAAATCAGAGTTGGATTACTGAAATGTTCTAATATTTCAATATTTGATGGTGGAAAAGGCCGCGTGACATTGGCTTTTGAAACGGTTTGTGCGATAGTGTTGTAAATATGATTTGTTAATGCAGTAATTTCAAGATACATGAAATCCATACAAATACAACAGTCTTTGGAATTCCCATGTGTTTTGAGAGATTTCGGTCTTTTTCCTTCGTTTGTTATCGGGGGCGCTCGGCTAATTCCGGGGTAATTATAATTATGCTCTTAGAAACATTAGAGTGCTATATAAATGTTATTGTTCTTAGTATTTATATATTGTTATCAACATTATGAATATTATTGTTAATATTGTTATCATTATCATTGTTATTATTATTAATATCATTATTATATTATTGTTGTTGTTTCTTCTTTTCTTCTTTTCTTTTCAGTAGATAGAAAAGTGTTACCGGTCAGACGGAAAACTAATGTTTCCCCATCTCCAAACACTTCCCTAATTTTGATTATTAATATTTCACGAGAGACCCGATTTCAATCTCATCCATCATTCATTCATATTGTCAGAGTACATACACATCTACCGTAGATTTCCATGTGCGTAATTAAGTATCAAAGCAATAATACAATATTTCATGACACAACAAACTATGTCTCCCAGTAATTTATGAATTAATAGTTGCATTTGACATG